CCCAAGGGCGGCTGGAGGACTCCAGAACTGGTCTCATCCAGAAGCAGGGTGGTGGCCTTGCAGTCCTGCAGTGGGTACGGCCACCAATTGCGTCCTGAAGAGTGTGTCTGGTCTGTCCGACTCACATTGCTGTGTTACCCATAACCCCCCGGTTCACACAGCAGAAGCTTGGCCAGCACAAGGGGAAGAGCCGTCTCTGGCATGGCAGCCACTCGCTGGCCCCACTCCTGACTAGGACAGTCGAGGGCTCTGCTCATCCACCCCACCCACCCTCCCAGTGAGACCCCTCTAGGTGCACCTCACCCTCTCACCTGGCCGCTCACCCCACAAGCTCAGCTTCAAGCCATCACCACCGTCCTGTCTGGAAGGAGCAGCTGACCTCTCCAAGGTTTCTCACGTTGACAGTCTACATGCTTTCCTGGATTCAGAGGGGAATCACCATTTTAATAATAAACTAATCCTGTTAATAATGTTTACAGGGAAAACAGCCGGCCCCGGTGGCCTGGCAGTCTCCCTGTGGTGACGCACACACGGCACCAGATCTTGTTACTATGACAAGACGGTCAGGGCGTCCTCTCTCCTCCACCCTTTGTCATCACCTTCAGTGGTTCTCAGATGGGCACTTTTCCCTAGTGACTTTGTTAACGGTCACAACTGGGGCATTGGCACTGACCATCTAGTGGACAGAGACCAGGGCTGCTGTTCGACCTCTGACCGTGCACCAGGCAGACAGCTCCAAATATCAACGTGCCTGGTGGAGACACCTGCATACCAACGCAGCGGACCTAACTGTCTACACACTAGGGTCCTCTGAAAGATGCCAATTGCTAGGGCCCCTCCTACACAAATGATGTCACAATCTCCAGGGTTAGCACTGGTTTCACACATTTTAGCTGTGCCCTGTGATTCCAAAGTACAACGCTGGCTGAGAATCAATGGCCTCAACTTGCATTGATTAAGAGTGGGAATTCTGAGATGGGTCAGAGGATTGGTATTTGGCGACTTCTAATGTTCCCTCCCATCACACAGCACAGACTTTTGCTAACACCAGCAGCCAGTGTGAAGCAGCCTAAAGACAAATGACCAGGTGGCCTGCTTGGCGGGGACCTGGGTTTCCAGGCCTCTCCCCATGGGCACTGTGGCTGTGGATGTGCCCTGGTGCTTGGGAGACAGCAGAGAGTCTCGTCCACTCTTTCCAGGTGACTCATGCTTCCTCATCGCTGTCACTGTAGGCTCACTATTGGCTCAGGGATTTTTGCATGTCATCTTCTTCAAAATAATGGATGTGGATAGTGAGTCATCAGCATAGTCTTCCTGTTATGGGTCAGAAAAGCAAGAGAGCAGAATTAAGTGAGTCAGCTAAAGAAGCGGCAGATCTAAAATTGGAACCTAGAAATTATAACTTCAAATCAAAGGTCGTCACAGCCACTGTAAAAAGACAGCATAGAGGTTTCTCAAGAAATAACAGTAGGTCCACAAGATAAACGCTCCATCATCTACTGACACATAGAATCTGGCATCAAACCCACACAGGCAGAGAGTAGGGGGGTTGCTGGCAAGAGCGAGGGGCAGAGAGAAGGGGAGATGTGGATTAAAAGGCCCAAAGTTTCAGCTGGATGAAAGGAATAAATTCTGGAGCTCAACTCTATGCACAGCAACTACACTTAATAACAGCACATTACACTGAAAACTGGTAAAAGAACAGATCTTACATGTTCTATATACACACCAAAATAAATACACGAGGTGATGGGTATGTTACTGAGCTTGACACAGTGATTTCACAAGGTATATCAAAACATCGCACTGTACACTCTAACTATAAATAACTGTCAATTATGCTGTGACACAGCTGAGGGGTGGAGTCGAATAAGGTCCTCACATTAATCCATTGCTTTCCATAGAGTTTATTTGTTCCATTCAAAATGCATTGAAAGTTTGCTACACAGTAAGCACCACGTTAGGAACTGGAGGGTACGAGCCTTACAGAGCTCTAGCACACAGTAACTCAAGGCTCTTAGGTGGGAGATAACGGAACAGACTTTAATGTAGTGTGGAAATGGCCACAAGGCGCACCATGGTGGGGACCCTCATGCCACCCTCAGTCTGAGTCCCGGCACTTGTGAGACCCTGAACACCTCAGGACCCTTCTCAGATCCCGCCTGCCCCAGCTATAGAAAGGGTACTCCAACTCCACCTCCCTGAGTTGCTGTGGTTATCAACTGGAGTCTCAAGACACAGGCCCAAAGTAAAGTGTTCCTTCAGTCATTCACCTGACCAGTCATGGCATTTGAAGGAGGGAGGGGAGGAAGAGAGGGAGGAGAAGGACTGGGCTGACCAGATTCAATGAAAAAGCAGTCTTGTTTGTTTCTCTCCCCAGAAAAAAGGCAGACATTTTAATTGAGTAGATTCTTAGAATTTTCTTGTCCCTTTAAAAAAAGAAGCCTGTGTGTGTGTCCACCTGCTGCCCCTGATTCAGGTGGAGGAGGAAGCACACCCTTTCTGATCACCTCCAGATGTTTCCATGGTAAGAACAACACAGGGCCGGTTCCTGCGAGACTGGTGTGATGCAGCATAGCAAGGAGCCAGGTGGCCATTCCCATCAGGCACCTGTCCCTGGGTTCTGCACAGCGAGGTGAAGAAAGGAGTTAAACATTTTTCTTTCACAAAACCATTTTCTCCTGTCAAAGCCTGAGCTGCCACATGCCTTTCCCGTCAGGCCGGTGGCCTGGTAGTGGGAGGTATGGCATCCAACACTCTTCCTGTGTCTCATCTGTACCCTGGGGCCTGAACTTCAACAACAGTCACTAGTCAGGACCAAGAACGTTGGTTTATGCAAAAAATGTTGTACCCCAAATATTGGTTTATGCTGGTCCCGGTGGAATCCATTTTGAGGTCCCCAAAGACCAGAACTTCAAAGATACAACATATACATAGCCCAAGGGAGTGGAAGCACCCACTGCATGTGGCCAGGTGGCTGGAGGTCAGACCCCAACAGGGGCTTGTCAGGACAGCCACTGTTCTATTAACCAGGACCAAACATTCATCTTTCTACCACGGGGGAATTTACTGAATAACAACCAGTTCCCCAGCTACATCACCCTCACCGCTGCAACGCACTGCGTACTTTTACTAACACCTGAACCACTCCAGTCACGTCACACGTTACACACCTGTATCTACATAGGACATACATATAGGTGATAGAAGGAAAGGTTATGGTGGCCACAGGGCAAAGGCAGACAGCAGATACAAATGCCAAAGAGTCACTGCAGGTGGCCTGACGGGATTATGAACCAACCAAAGAATTTATCAGGGAACAGAATGTCCCAGCAAGAAATTTATTCTCAGCCAGGGTCCAGCTGGCAGGCATTTTCAAAGTGGGCCAAAGCAGGGAGATGGGGCTGAGCTGAAACGCGGGGACCGAGAGTCAGAGGTTCCTCCCCTGTCCATCCTGTGAGGTGGTTCGGATGCTGTCATGACAGATCGGTGTGTGCCACCTAGGCAGCCTCAGTGCTCCTCCTTGTCTCAGGTGAGGGCGCTGCTTCAATCGAAGGTCTGGTGTGTTTGCTGACCTTATGGACCTGGCTTTTCTGATATGGGGTTGATAAGCCCATGTAGCTTTGCTTCTGATTTAACTTGAGAAGTTCACAGGTGGCCATTTCTATTAACACAATTAATTTATCCTTTTGTGCCTTATGGTTGTGCCAAGCAGATGATGGCTGTTCACTTGTACCAACAATGCACAGAGACTTCCACCCCAGCACTCAGAATGGAGTAGCAAACTACCACTTTATCAAGTGCAGTAACTTGGGTTGGGCACAGCCTGAAAACTGTTGATACCTTATGGAATGACACCCAGAAGGCCACTGCCTGCTCTCCACAGGCCTCTGTCCAGCTCCTGAAGGTTCTCCTACTCTGGGTTTGGATCATCACTGCAGTGAAAGGGAAAACACTCCAAGGCGGCTGTGCTCCCAGACGTTTGTTCAGCGTATCCTAATCCCTGGGTGCAGATGGCAGAGCAGAGCCTTCCTCCCATCCTGCAGGCCAGCAGAGACTGCTGCCCAGTGCCCCCAACCCCACTTTGTAACAAGGACAGGAAGTGAGGCAGAAGGGAGGTGTTGGCATAACTACAACCCCCTTCCTTTCCCCCACCCCCACTTTATGAATACTGTTCTTAAGAAAGAACTTGCCCTCCAGGATACCAGGTCATAAGGGCTACCCCACCCCTATGGCAACGCCATGATTTCACTTATTACAGCTAACGATTCAGGAGGAGTTGCTGCTGCTCTTTTTCCACGGGAGACAGCCTGACAGTTTCCTGACAATAAATCTGCTTTTGCCTTTGCTCTTGGTGTTTGTGTGATCAGTCCTGGGCCAGTTTGCTTTTGGGAGGAAATAAAGCCAAGAGCATTTTCACAGAAACACCATGATACGAACATTAATTTTTAAAGAGGCTCAGCCAAGACTTAGCTTTTTCAGTATTTTGGTTTTTAATGAGTGACTACAAAGGAGCTGAGGGCATCAGTGAGAAGCAGAGCCCTGGCTTCAGGGAGGCGCCAGGGTGACCTGTGATTTCCAGCGCACTGCACAGGCCTCGGGTCCAGAGGGTCACATACGCCCCAAAGCAGCTGCAGCCCTAATCACAGGAGCTCTCACCCTTGGCCTACTTCCCTATGGGAAGTCCGGGCAGGTGGCCTGGAGGCAGGGTGGACACTTGGGAAGGCCTCACCTGGGTCCGTTCTCTGGGTAGCGGATGCCCCCAGACCAGAGGGGAAAGCCCTGCGCGCTGCGCCCGGGACGCATGGAGAAGCCGAGGCGTGGGGTGGGGGTGGGGGCGCCGCGGGCAGAGAGTGACACCCCGGGGGGTGACGCGGGAAAGGTAGGAAGCACGCGTGCCGCATGGGGCGGGGGGCGGGGCGACCAGGGAAGACCCAGAGGCAGACGGTCGGGAAGGACGTGGCGCGTGGCCGGGGGCGGGGCCGCTGCGGAGGGTGTGGCCGGCGGGGGCTCGGAGGCCCGGAGCGCATGGCGGGGACCCGGCGGCGCCAGCTTCCCCCGGCGCGCAGAGCCGGGAGGCGCGGACGAGGTGAGCTGGCGCCGGGAACTGGTTGCGGTGGCGTGGGGATGCGGGGTGGGGCTGGATGGAGTAAGGAGGATGCGGTGGGGCGGGTGCGGGGAGTGGGAGATGGGTTGGGGCGGGATGGGTGCGAGGAGGGTAGGGTGGGTGGAGGCTGTGGGGACAGGGTGAGGTGTAGGGGAACAGGGGCAGGGCTACCGTGGGAGATGCCTTGGGAGATGCGCAGGCGTGTGGCACCTCGTGCTGAGACCTGCGAGGAGCCCGCTGTCACCCTGGCTGGCTTTCCAGAAGTCTCTGCACTTCACAGGGGACCCCAGTCTTCTCTCCAGGTCCTTCTGATTCAAACCCTTGCCACTCTACACCCATCCCGGAGGGGCCAGAAGAGTGCCCCAGCTGAAGCCTTGCCCAAGACCTGCTTTGTTCAGTCTGTAATGGTGGCCCACCTTGGAGTAGACCCTGACACCGCCTGGGCCACAGAGAACCACGTTCCTGGGAGAGGATTCCAGAACCTTCCACAGGGGAGGAGTGAGCTTCTGGAGATTGGGTCCTTGTGCTTTCTCCTGAAGACATTGGACAGCATCTCAGGTTTTCACCAGGGGCCAGTAGAAGGGCTCCCTGGGAGCAGGTTGAGGACATGTGGAGAGAAGTGACAGGTAGGGAGGCCAGTTGTGCTGTAAGGAAAACCAGTGCAGGGAGGGCTGTCAACGCCGAGAGGGAGAATGAATGCAAGAAGCCAGAGGCATCAGCACAGCCTGGCGGCAGGCACAGGCAGGGTTCAGGAGTCGGGCTCAGGTGCCTCCAGGTGAGGTGGACGCACAGAGGGGATGGCCTCCATAGCAGCACATTTCCTCCTTTTATGCACCGTTGCATTTTCAGTTCTCTGTCAATTTGGGAAGGAAATGATTTAAAAACACGTTTCCCAGCCAGAGTCAATGGAACTGAGATCCCCTGGGACCCTACCCCAGGCAGGGCAGGCCTCTGCAGTCTGAGCACCAGAGTGGGGTACTTTAATATACCTTAAAGGGCAGCAGGAAAGAAAGTGGGGTCCAGGCAGTATGCCCTTGGCTTGTGCAGTGAGGATTTGTGGTCAGTGGAGGCAGTAGCAGCTCTGCCATATTGAATGCAGCCCAACATGGGAACCACATACCACATGGAGTTCCAGAGGTGTTTTTTAATTCCTCCCCTTCAGACTCCTACACATATGGTCAGGATCTTTTCTGTTTTGTTTTTCAAAGGATTGACCTTAAGAAACATCGCCCTCTCCTCCGGTTACTCAAGAGGCAGGGAAATTGCAAGTTCAAGGCCAGCTTGGGCAACTTAGCAAGAATGTCTTAAAATTTAAAAAATGGAAATGGCTGGGTTCAATCCCCAGCCCTGCGAATTAATTCTACTAATAGTGACCGTTCGTGGCTTCCTGTTTTCATCCAGCGTTGTTCTCTCAATCAGCACAGCCATTCTCTGTCCTCCGAGGTGGGCGTCATTCCTTGTCTACAGAAGCCAGGCTCAAAGAGTTAAACAGCTGGCCCCAGACCACCCAGCTGCTGAGGGGCAGAAAGGGAGGTCTGGGCCTGCCTCCAGCTTCCTGTTCCGCCTCTGCAGAGCCTCACAAGGATGGCTCGGGAAGAGTGACCAGCGGCAGCAGAGGACAGGCGTGTGCTGATGGTGTTCTGGTTGTTTGGGTCTTTTCACATGATGTGTCCCAGACAAGGTGTAAGCCAACAGCGAAGGTCCTCAGCTCGAAGGAGTGTGAAAACAAGGAGGAAGAGTAGAGTCAGGACTGCCCAGACTCCGGGAGGCAACGGAAGCACGGACCCTTCCTTGTGCATTGAGGACCTGGTGACTTCTCAATTTGGATTCAGCTTCATGAAAGGGGCCATGAAGTGTGGTTCCTGGACCTGGGACACTGAAGCAGGGTCAGGCAGGTGGCCTTGGGTTACTAAGGGACCCTGTGTACATCCTAAATGTGACAGCGGGTGACTGGAGATCTCCGCTGCTCTGCCTGCAGGTCTAGCCACACTTGTGACCTGGTATACTGCAGTGCTGGTTGACATTCTGCTCTTGGCCAAAACGTCTTTACCATTCTCTAAAGGGACGACAGATGTTCAGCCTCCTCTTGGAGTTGTGCCCTCACTTCTGTGACAGTCAGGTTCATGACAGTTGGGTGCCATGCTCCCCACCCATGAGTCATCCCATATGCAACAGCCTCTTCCATGCCCAGCTTGAATTCTGCTTCAATTCTGTGTGAATTAAGCTCCTAGTCCCACCACGCTGGCCATGAGCAACACTGTGGTGGAGAAAGCACGTAAGAACCTTAGGAGCAGCAGGGTACAGACAGCTCCAGTAGCAAGAAGTCAAATAGTCCAAAAATGTTTGTGCTCCCCCAAATGTCACTCATCCATTGCCAGGTAGATTCCACAGCTGAGGGCATGACCCAGTACTTGGCTTCTGCAGATGACATTTTCCAAATGAAAGCCTCAGAGTCACCATGGATTTTCTTTACAGATACCTCTGCACCTTCAGGAGACTTGCAGGTTGCCTGGCAACCAGAGGAGGCCGGTCACGACTAGATGCTTCAGCACCCAGCTTAGGCCACTGGCCTGGCAGACTCCCCTGAGAGCCGTGCCTGTGTCCACAGGCTGCATCATCAGGCATAGAGACTTGGAGTAGCCCCAAATGGCACCTGTCCGTCTTCTAGTCAAAAGAAGGGCAGAACAGCTGAGTTTCAGCTGTCAGTACACTTTGGACAGCTTCTTCTGGGCCTGTTGCCACAGAGATTCTAGGGTAGGTCCGGGTTTCCTGCCAAGCCAAGCGCACAGGCTCCTGCTGTGAGAAGGCGGATGACAAGGGGCGGGGGCTGCGGTGCTCACCCAGCCCTCCCAGCTGTGGGCTGCTTCTCTCTTCCCTCCCTCATCTTACTCCAAGGCATGGTCTCCTCCCTGTCCTCGCCACCACCCCTAGCTCCTCATGCTGTGCTTACAATGGGAACCTCCTCTCCACCCCAAGCAATGCCTGTGCCTCTCTCTGGCACCACCTGACCCCATGCTGAGGGCCCTTGGGGTCCCTGCCTATGCTCCACTCCACAGGTGTTGTGCCTGTCTGAAGGTCAAGCCTCCCTGGGACCCGTGTGCTGCGGCCTCTCCTCCCACATCTTTGCACAGTCCTGTTCATGGGGTGCCTCTGGGCCTGACGCAGTGCATGGTCTCTGGTCAGTGCCAAGTCAGCCTTTGGCCTGTGGAATTGAAGTAGGACCTGTACCTTCCACCAAGCTACTGTCTGCGATTCCGGGCCCCCAAAAGATGAACCTGGGCTGCCTGCAAGGTTGGGCAAGCTCAGAAGAATCAGCCCTTTCCCCATCCTGTTCCCAGCATGCACCCAGAGATTGGGCTTTCCTTACGGCTGGTCACACAGATGTCGACATGGTGCTCAGAGCCTCAGAGCACAGGTGAGCCGATGTCAGTAACAGCAGTGGAGCCTCCTAGCTGTGCTGGTGCGTCCAAGTGTCATCCCATTGACTCTTAACTATCTTGAAAAAGATACTATTCCCATCCCACACATAAATAAATAAATGATAAATAAAACTAGGTTCGAGATGTTGAGTGTGTTGTTCCAGGTCCACAGTGTGGCCTGGAAACTGGAGCGAAGCCCGGTGTCTGCCTCCAGGTGGCCCTGGGTGCCTCTGGTCTGCAGGACGTCTGCTAGGTGTTCCAGTCTCGGTCTGAGCCAGTGGTTCTCGTGCTGTGACCTCAGGATCCCTGACGCACCTGACGGGCTTGAGGACAGTGAGCTGGGGTGCATACGTGCTGCTTCATTCTGTTCTGGTTCTAGCTATTGATGCTCATCGTACCAGAAGTTAAAAGTGAGAAATTAGAAAAACGTATACTTGTAGATTTATTTTAAAAGAGCAATAACATACCCATTGGATGTTGGTGGTAATATTTTCATGAAAAACAAATCTCCCGACAGGATTAAGGGAGTGGTAGCTGAAGGGGGGTAGGGTGTAGCTGGAGGGGTGGGCACTGGGGACGTGCCTTTGGGGTATATATTTTGTGTCTGGTGAGTGGAGTCTCTCTCTCTCTCTCTCTCTCTTTCTGCTTCTGATCATCATGTGAGCCGGCTCCCTCTGCCACACAATTCCACCATGATGTTCTGCCTCACCTCGAGCCCAGGGGAATGGAGCCTGCTCGCTCTCTATATAGACTGAGTCCTCAAATAAACTTTTCCTTCTCTCCAGTTACTCTGGTCGGGTGTTTTAGTCTCAGCAGTGAAAAAAGCCGACGAAACAAAGTGATAGATTATATAAGGTTCATTTTCGCATAGAATCTGAAAATGAATTTTTGAACTTTGTCATGGTCAATGTGTTCTTGTACTTGGCCCTTTGGTGGGACAGTTTTGACCCTGCACAATTCTATATTATAATCCGTCATTTGGAAAATGAGGGCCACCGAGTCATCAGACCTGCCCAGTGTACAGCAGAAACTCCCTGCCAGTCCCGAGAAGGGTGGGAAGGCAGCGGGCCCTGGGAGCTCCCCGGAGGGCCTGGAGGGGCACACTGGGGCCCCTGCAGGCCTGCGGTTTGAAGGGAGTGGTCCTGAATGCACAGCCCGTGAGAGGATACTGATCCCAGAACTTCAGGAGAAAAGGAGCCTATGGAGTTTAGTATGTGACACTGGGGAAAGGCACACAAAGACACCGCACAGAACACAGAGCAGCAGAACACCCTCTGGACTCCTTGTGTGTGTGTGTGAGATGTCTCCACTCACTGTTCTGGGGAGTGCGTGGGACTGATGACTACATCTGGCTGTCCTGGGGAGCAACTTGTGTACCCCCCACAGAGATAACCACCGGCCAAGGTGGTGTGGACTGTCCACCTGAGGTTGCCGTGGGATTGACAGAGTCGAGCTGGGGAGGCCTTCTGGGGTGGGCAGGGTGGAGTGGAGTAGGAAGGGCATCTGGGTTGCGGGAGGGCTGTTTCTCCCTGCCCTGCTGGGGGGTGGAGACAGCCTGCAGGGTGCAGCAGCCAGGGCTAAGACCAGGCCTGCTGCAGGCTGCACGGCGGGGGCCGCGTGAGCCTTAGCTCCGCTCCTGCCCGCTGCTGTTTTCACCTGCTGCCTTCCTGCTGGGCGCTTCCGCGGGTTGCTGTCAGTGCACACCGGCTTGCGATCCTGCAACCCGGCTGAGCACAAAAACACAAGCCAGTCAAACTGAAACAAAGTTTTATTTTGTGAGAGGCCGTGTGCGTCCCCCTAACAAGCCGGTCCACACACACGAGTGTCTCTACCGGACACACGAGTGTCTCTACCGGACACGGGGGCTCCACTTCCCCCGGAACACCCTCCTACCATCCTTCCCCAACCAATGGGAACTCTCCGGGAATCTTGTAACTTGAGTCCCCAAATGGGCCTAGGTGAACAGTAGGAGTCCAATTTCCATATGAATGTAATACTTTTGCAGTGGCTCCTAGCACAGGCCTCCTGATGGAGCTTGAGCTGCACCGGCCCCAGCTGTGAGTGTGCCCTTGTGACTCAGTGACCTGCCTGTTCAGCTCTGTCATCTTGACTCACTTGCTCCCCACTTGATAGCGTGATTTATTGCAGTATAATTACATGCCATAGATAACGCCAACTCTGAGCAGATCCAGCCCTCTAACTGTAGGATTCTGGAGGACTCCCTGGCCTTGGGAGGCTCTCACTCCTCCCTGCTATCAAGAGCTGTTCTGATATGCTCTTGAAGTTCATCCAGACACAGCGGGGCGTGTCTGTGATCCCGCGGAATAGCCTGCATGCCCTTGGCTCTTCTCTTGCTGCTGGGGGGTATTCCACCGTACACCAAAGTCTGTTCATCCGTTTTCCTGTTGGTGGGCTTTGGCCTGTGTGTGGTGTTTAGCTAGAATCAAGGGTGGCTTCCAAGACATCCTGCTGTGGACTGAATTGTGTCCCTCCTGCCTTGCCTCCCAAATTAATGTGTTGGGGCCCAGCCTCCCAGGGAGATGGTGCAGAGGTTTGTTGACAGGGCCTGGGGGTAATTAAACTTTTCCGCAGTCGTGAGAATGGGGACCTCAGAGCTTGCTTCTGCACTCTCTCTCTCCACCACACATTGAGAAGATGGAAATCTACAAACCAGAAAAAGCCCTCATAGGAAATTAATCAGCTGGGGCCTGGGATATCCAGTGTCCAGGACAGTGAAAAGTGACTGTGGGCTGTGCGAGCCACCCAGCCTGACATTTCCCCATAGCAGCACACTACTGGTCAAGCAGGAAACCTTGAGCTGGGAGAGGAGGAAGTTGGCAGAGCCTTCAGACCTGCTAGAACTTTCAGACACATGCTGTTAGCTGGCTGGATGATGATGACTGTCATAGGAAACAAAATTATATAGATATAAAAAGTACCATAGTAGTTTTGAAGAAGTACCAAGTAGAATTTCTAGAATTTATAGACATAATGACGACAACAACTTGGAGCACAGGTTTGACAGCAGATTAGACACAGCTGAACAGGTAGTTAGTGAACTGGAGAGCACAGTCCAAAAGGCTCTCTAGCTGATGGGCTTGGTGAGGTTCACCTCACTGTTCAGAGAGCAGAGCTGTTTGTAAAGCACTTAACACACCTCCCCAGTTGTGTGAAGAAGATTTCTAAGTACAGTTTCCAGAAGTCTAGGCCAATGGGCAGTTCTCGGGCTGCTGGTTAGGGAGGGAAGTGGTTAACTGCTCTGGAGGGGAAATATTAATTAAAATCCAGAGTGCACACACACTTGGATTTAGTCATTCACTTCTTATTATTTATTCTACATCTACCCCAGGCTTATGCCAAGGTGATGCCCAAAGGTGTTCATGGCAGCATTGTTTACATTGCTGGAAACCAAATATAAGCAAAAATGTCTCTTGGAGGCCTATTTAAAGAATTGTGGTCTATCTCAACAACAGAACGTAGAAGTTAAGAGCAAGGAAAGTCTGTGTGTGCTGACTGGGGTGCCATGGAACTGGACGTGCAGCTAGCTGCACGGCACCTCCTGGGGAAACAGAGAGGGAAATGTGTGAGTTTAGCCAGAATCAAAGGTGGCTTCCAAGGCATCCTGCTGGGACGGAGTTGTGTCCCTCCTGCCTTGCCTCCCAAATTAATGTGTTGAGGCCCCAGCCTCCCAGTGAGACGGGGCACGTGTTGTTGTGGGGGCCTGGGGTGTACCTGAGGTCGTGAGCATGGGGACCAAATGACTGGATCATGGATGTGGGCTACAGGCCCGGAGACGGCTCTGAGGGCACAAAGGGATGTTCGTACCTGGCTGTGTCTGGGGAGGGAACTCTGGGCTTGGAGCCTAGGACTTGGGCAGAGTGACAGCTTGTTGAATCCACTGAAATAGGCTTGGCAGGGAAGGTGCTCTTAGAAGAAGAGAGAGCCAGGGCCCAGGGGCAGGGTGGGTTGGAAGCAGCACATAGGACTCTTCAGTGCACTGCTACAGTCTGAATCTTGAATGTGCCCCAAAGACCCATGTGTCAAGGGCTCGGTGGTCAGGTTGTGGCACTCTTGGGAGGCAGGGGAACCTTTAGGAGGTGGGACCTGGTGGGAGAATGTTAGGTTATTGGGGACATGCCCTGTAGAGGGTTTGGGGACTCTCACTTCCCAGCTACCAGGAGGTGAGTACCTCCTGCGTCATACGTGCGCCATCATGTCTGCCTCACCACGGGCCCAAGCGACAGTGGGCCCCTGACCGTGCACTGAACCTCTGGAGCCAGGAGCCAGAGTCAGTCTCTTCTCTCCATCAGTGGAGTATTTGTCACAGTGATGAAAACCCCCAACACTTAGACACTTATTTTTTTCATTTAAAAAATTTCATGGATACTCTGGGAAATGCAAGAGGTTTTTTTTTGTTTGTTTGTTTGTTTTTGTTGTTGTTTTGTTTTTGTGTTTCTTTCCACTCTTTGCGCGCATAAGCGTCTGCTTTTACTTGTACCTTTTCACTTAATTGCATTTCATGTACCTTCCCCTATATATTACAAGTAATCTTGATACGTATGACTTTATGAGCTCCTGAGTAGTTTCCACTGATTAGACGCTATTTATGTCACCAGTCTGTCTGCCTGTATTGACTGCAGGTTTCTTCACACTCCTCACCCATCGCAGTGTACACAGCATTTCCTTTTTTTTTTTCCAGTGCTAGAGATTGAGCCCAGGGCCTCACATACACCAGAGGCAAGTGCTCTGTCACTGAGCTACACCCTCCGTCATAGCATTTCCACTTTTAAAACAGAAGCCCTTAGCTAGAGTCCCCAGAAATGTGACTTATATCATATTTTTCAAAGGCCATAGGAGTTTGCTAGGTTAAACTTGAGGAAGAGTTTGCTGTGGACCTTGTGAGAATGGGGAACAGGCTCTGGGCACAGGATCACTGAAGCAGAATGAATACAGCCCTCGCTGAGCGGAGCAGGTGAAAGGAGAAAGCATTCTCGCGGAAGTTCCAGAGGACACAGGTGAAAGGAAAGACATCTGGGTTTGTGGTCTGGAAACCCCCCGCCCCCGGAATATAAAAATCCATTGTAAACAGGTGAATTCCCCAAGGGAGGCCCAATAAATGAAATGATCTTGAGAAAGAAGATCAAAGCTGGAGGACTGTGTGCCCTGCTTTCAAAATTCATTACGAAATCACAGTGGTCAAAAGAAGTGTGTGACTGGTGCAAAGATGGACACGTCGATGGGTGGGATAGAGGGGAGAGGCTAGAGACAAACCCTGGCCTGTGGGGTCCAGGGACCTTCCCAGGAGCCAGGGACCCTCAGTGGCAGGAGGTCACCCCAGCAAACAGTGCCGGGCAAGTGGGACCCGTGTGCACGAGTGCGGACTTGTACTGTTTCCTTATTCCAAAGGCAAAAGTCAACACAAAATGGATCAAACATCGACGTGTAAGACTTGGAACCACTGAGTGGAGGGCATCGAGGAAAAGCTTCAGGATGTTGGTTTTGCAGTTGTTTCTTGGATGTGATGCCAAAAAACACAGGCAGCAGAAGCAGAACTAGAGGGGCCCCAGGTCACTGCACAGCCTGTGCGTAACGCAGGGCACACACTAGCGAGTGAGGGGGCAGCCCCCAGAGTGGGAGAGGACAGTCACCAGCAATGTCTGATGGGGAGTTAGTGTCCAGTATGTGCCAAGATTCCTGCAACTCAACAGCCACCAAAAGTAAACCCGGTTTTAAAATGGGCTGGAATGAGCTCTGTCTCTCTAAAGATCTCATAGACATGAGTGTCCAGCAAGCATATGAAAAGAGGTCCAGCCAGTCTTTAGGGAAATGCTCTAGTCTGTGAAGAGGCACTCCTCACCTCCATCCCACTGGACGCCTGAAGGGGAGAAGGTGTGGGCCAGGATGTGGGGAAACCAAACCCGCTGCCCTCAAGGGATCGCACAGCTCTGCAGCTGCTGGCCCGTTCCTCAAACAATCAAATTCAGAAAATGGCTCCCTGACCCCAGTGCCATCTCTGAGTGCATTCCCATGAGGTCCGAGAGGGGAAGGGGGAGATGCTTTCCCTCCCTAGGGCAGCATCCCGCAAGGTCGCCAGGAGGCAGAAGCCGCCCAGCATCTGTGGCCAGAAGAATGGCTGAGCCCCGAGTGGCCCACGCACACAGGGGTTCTACTCAGACTCACGAGGTCATTAAGCTGCGTGACATAGGCCGGTCACAGAGGACAGACTCTGATTCTCTTATGTAGAGCCTCTGGAAGACTCAGATTCACACAGACGAGAGGGCGGGGGTGGCCGGGACTGAGGGAGGTGGCCGGTCATTGTTGAACAGGGACAGAGTTTTAGTTTCTGAAGATGAGAACGTTGTGGAGATCAGTAACGTGCCTGCCTGACTCTACTGAACTGTACACTTAAGATGAAAACGATGGTGGATTTTATGTCAGATACATTTTTTTTTTACTATGATTTTTTAAAAAGTAAAAACGAACCCGAGATAGAAGCCCCACTTCTGAGCCAGAGAGAAGTTGAGCATGGTGGGAGAGCTTGCTTCCTGCCCGGCAGGCATCGGCAGGACAGGGCAGCTCACAGGTTGCACAGAACCAGTCCGAGGTGGCGTCCTGAGGAAATGTGCAGGCTAGGCCCAAGGTCGGGACCTTTGCTTCCTGTGGAGACTCTTGTCATCGTGCCCTCTGATTTAGGGGGACAACTGTGGGCATGAATTGAAGACTTGTGTCCCCAGTTTTCTTGGATGGCGCCCTATGGGGGCCCCTTGGGAGCAGAGATGGCAGAGGAGGGAGGGTCATGGCCACGGCACCTGCGACAACCCACAGGGGGAGGGATGACCCAGGTGGGCCAGGACCCTGTGTGTCATGTGGCTGAAGCCTCTGGGCTTCTTGGGAGAGGAGAAATGGGAGCAAAGCAGCATTGCCAAGCCAGGAGGTCTGAGCAAACATGCCCGCTTCCCCTGGACCTGTGCCCCCCGTGGCCCACGGCCTCTGGATTAGAGTGGTCAGGAGCACAAAAACCGGGTGGGTGCTGGGAATAAAAGTGGACTTGTAGGTGACCAGAGGGAATCCCTGTCCTGCTAATGTCCAGATGTCCTCAGGGCTATCTCCCCCGCATGCCTGCCCAACCCCTGCTCTGAGATTCCCTGGTCACTGTAACCAAAGGGACTGCCCACCTTGACTATGGCCAAGAAGCTGGGTATTGGCCTTGCTCTTTTCCCTGAAGTTAGTTTGCCATCAGTAAAGGAGGTGGGCACTGAGCTGGCCTGCGAGTGCACTGTTCTAACGGGGGCCTGGGTGCAGGGCACCTTGATTCTGAGACTCTGCCTTGAGTATAAAAGGCTCAGCCAGGTGTGCATTGCACCTGTTTTTTGTTGTAGGACATTAAATTGGAGCCTGGGGACACACAGCATTAAGAGGCACTGTGTCCTCCCTCTACAAACCCTGCCAGGCTTCCCAGGCCCTATCAGCTGTGGCCTCTGGTCACCCAGGCCTGGCTGGGCGTGTCTAACCTCCGGCACTGGCAGCCCTCGGGCCCCTTGGTGCTCTGCTTGTCCATACCTGCCCAGCCCATACCTGCCCGCTGAACCTTGAACGTGCCTGGCCGGTACCTGTGGTTTGCTAATACTGGCCCGCCCCTTTCTGCCGGCCCCCAGGACAGGTCCTTCCTGCTGCCCAGTCAGTGGCTCCTGCAGATTGCAGGACCAGGCAGGCGGGAGCAGCCCCCAGAAGATGCGCCCTGTGGCTGCTGGTGAGTGCGACACCCCCCTCTGCCTCCGAGTGTGTGGGAGGGAGGGACCCAGAGCAGGGGAGTCACCTGTTGCCCCTTCTGGAGGTGCCACACTGAGCCAGAAGGGTGGGGGCTGGGGCACCGTCTCCTGTTAGACCCAGATCACAATTAGGGTCTCAGCGCCAAAGGGGCTGAGGTTTCCGAGGGGCTGGGCTGGTGGTTCCAACCTGCGGCTCTTGCCAGTCCTGCCACTCTGCTGGGGCTGGTGCCGGTGAGCGCACACCTTATCCAGGGCAGGCAGGTGGCACACTGCGGCCGCCAAGAGTGAGTGCCTTTGGGTGGGGGCTGGGGTGCCCCACCTTAGGAAGGGCTGGCTCGGCACTGGTTGGGGACTCCCTCGGACAGGAGCCCAGGGATTGTGGAAAGTTCGGGGGACCCTCAGGAGCCTTTCTGGCAGGAGGGGGCTGAGGGTGGCATGGGAAGTAAATGCCTGGCCCTGGCTGATTGTGACAGTCCCCGTGGCATTTCAGTTTTTAAAATGGGGCTGTCTTTAGTTTGCTCTTTGTCAAATTCTTGGCGCTACAGAGATTTAGAAAGATGGCCAGGAGGGGGGGCACCCACTGTCTGCACCAGCCACTCTGTGGCTCAGAGCAGAGGGGTCTCACAGCTGCTGCCCACTGGTCGTCCCCCGAGGCTCACCTGCCCTTCTAGTGGGTTTTGCTATTGTTCTCTGGCTACCAGAGGAGGAAGCGGGTTCCTCCAGGGGAGAGAGAACAGGGCACAGCCCTGTGCAAACATGGGCAGCTCAGAAGGGCAAGCTCTGAGCTTCCCTTGGGGGGTCACCTGCCTACCTCTGAGTCCGTCTCTGCATGAGGGTGACCCTCCCAGCACCAGTGTCCACTCCAGAAAGCCCACAGCACAGCCTACATCCCTAAATGTAGGAAAATCACACTTTAAGGTTTTGCCTTCTTGTGGAAAGTTATTTTCTTAGAGAAACAAAACTAAACTAAACTGTTTATGGGTGAACAATGTTGCTTTTGCTGACTGCTGTGAATTGTGGGACAGAATGGTGGTGACACGTGCATGCGTGTTCCTGTATAAGGTCACACAGCGTGACGCTGCCTAATGAGTCAGAGTCACAGTTAGAGGTCAATGATGTTTGTTTGCATAACAATAAGATCTCCAGAGACCCACTGCTCCTCAGAACGTGTCCTGTTGGTCAGTGATGGACTGAAGCATCTGCAGCGCCCCCCTCGGGCACTGACGGCATCGCAGCTGTCGGAAGAGCGGCTCCATCCTTTCTGGGTCTTGGGATCCCCTCACCTTCCGCTTCTTCACACCCAGCCCTCCTGACTCATTTGTGAGCCATGTGGTCCCCTACACAAAGCTCCCAGGGACACCAGGGTTGTCCTCATCTGGGCGTGTGGCGGTGAGAACAGTCACTCTGAGAAGCTCAGATCACATCACTGCTGTGAACTGAGAATTAGGTAAGGAGCTCTGAGGCTCCCGGCGCGTCTGCGGGGCGTGGTGGAACGCGTTCCCGGGACACTGCCACCAGCCGGTGGCGGCGGCATAATCACACGAGGAGAGGAGGTCCTGGTTACAGAGTCCAGGAGGGCTCCAAGCCTCAGCACTTCTGCCCCACCAGGGTAGCACCTGGTCTACAGAGCAGCCTCTCAGAGGCCCGGCCTCCCACCTACCCAGAGGCACTGTGCTCAGTTGAGGACCCGACCTTCATCCTGACAGGCTGCTTCCGGTCCTTCCCATTCTGCTGTCACCCTCGGACGGACCTCCTGTCCAGTCCACAGAGAGCCTAGGCCCAGCCAGCCTGATGCAGGGCTAATGCTGGGTTAGGGGCCGAACGGTGGCTTCCACCCAAAGTCCTGAGCTGAAGCCCTAACCTCACGATGGGACTGTGTTCTGGAAACGCGGCCTTCGTGAGGTCATTAAGTTAAAATCAGGTCCTTAGGGTGGGCTCCCGTCCAGTATGACTGGTGTCCGGTAGGAAGAGGAGATCAGGACACACGCAGTGGGACGACCTGTGAGGACCAGCAGAACATGCCATCTGTGACCAAGGAGTGGCCCTGGAGGAACAGTCTTTTGACACCTGATCTGGGACCTCTAGCCTCACAATCCAGCCTGTGGCACTCCTAAGGCAGCCCTGGGAAACACACCGAAGCTGCCGGGTCTCATCCACCCTGGGCTGGCTCCTTGGTCCTGTCCTCCTGGTGGCTGGGACACTTCTGTGCCTTTGTGATAGAGCCAGTCTCAGCCCGGTGTGTGCCCACCTTCTGATGGTGGACAAGTCCAGTGGTGCTATTGGGTCTACTCTCCCACCCTAGAGGTGGTCCTGGCTCTAGGTCTCGCTTTCTGCCATCAGCCACTTGTTATCACAGGAAGCTAGACTGTCCCCAGCCTGGAGGCCACCAGCGGCGCTCTTCAACCACAACACAATTTATACCTCCCTAGTGATACTGCTGGCTACTGGTGGCAGTCCTGCTCCCCACAGGTTGAAGTACAACATTAGGGAAGCAGGCCGAGGCAAGCACATAAAGCAGGTTTATTTAAGAGGGGTAACGTGGACTTCTCCCGGGAGGGAGGAGGGGCCCACCTGGTATCCCCAGAGGCGAGGTGTTCCGCCTTTTTATAAGTCCCAGGCTTCCTGTGTTCTCCTACCCTCTCCTCTTTCTCTCTCCTTCCTGTGGACGTGACTAGGCCCAGGAATGCTCCGTGGGACGGCCAAAGGTGGGAGCCAGGTGGGCTGAGGGGGAAGGGCAGGTGGAGCAGCCCAGGACACAGTATTAACAACCTGTGGCTCCCAGTGGGGAGGGGCAACTCCTGGGACAGGTCACCTTGGCAACAGGTTGGAGCAGGGCAGGTTCTCGATGCCGTGAAGGTGTTAGCATCTCAGTCCCTCTTTCTCTGGGTCTGACCCTCGCTGTCTGCCTGCCTGATTCCGGCTTCACTGGGAACGCTGAGAAATGTCCGGGGAAGATGCTCACAGACGACCTGTTCAAGGTGTCGAATTCTCACTGTGAGGATTGGCTCTCCTTTCTGTCACATCCACTTGTGTGTCCTTGTCCACTAGGACCAGACTGTACCTCCATTCCAGGCAGTGCTTCGCGTCCTCCGTGGGAGGGGACGCTGTCTCCTCCAAGCTCTGAATAGCTCATGGTGCAAGAGGCTGTGGGATGGGGTCCGGAAGACCCTCTGAAGGTTGTTTAGTGCCAGTTGTCTTCTCAACCACTTGGATAAAATCGGCCAGCTGTGACCTATTGCTGTCTTTGGACATGTCCTGCACCTGCCCATGCACATGGTCCCCCCAAAAGAACTTTCAAGAACATCCTGCCCTTTAGTTCCCAGGGTGCCACCAGGCTCAGCCACAGGCAGCGTGGAGGGAGTGTTCTGCAGGCCAAGGGGTGAGGACTGCAGAGCATTTGGGGACAGTGATGTGCCCACAGTGACTGGCCCTGGGGAGGTGCAAGGGAGGGCCTGCCAAGCCCTCAGCCTCATCTTGTTTTTCATGGCTGCTTCTGGCTTTGAGATGTCCCTTCATCCCCGGCAAAGACATGGCCATGCTACCACCTTTCCCAACAAAAGCCAGCCCTGCACATTGTCCCAATAATCTTGGAGACTGTGGTTTGAAAACAGAAAAGGAGTTGGCACTGAAAGGCATACTGGAAAGTAAAACCCCAAGGGCCCCGGGCGCGTCAGTCCTTCAGCATGGCTCCCTGGGAGCCTGGACTCCTGCCCCAGGGTCCCTGCAGGATGAATGGGCCTCTGAGTGCTGAGGGAAGGACCGAAGCCGGGCCCTGAGAGTGGAACCTGGGCCCACTGCAGGGCTACGGATAGCGGGTCAGGAGGGTTCGGCTCCCATGGGGAGAGGGTTGGTGCCAGGAGGGAGCCAGGGGCTGCTGTGCTGGAGGCTCAACATTGAACTCCGCTTCCAGGGCTGGACACTCACAGCTGGCCCAGACAGTGAGGACCTGGTCTCTGCTCGAGGCTCTGGGTGGGGAGAAACAGCTCCTGCAAGTCTGGGGCCTCCGCACTCCCGGCTGACCAGCTGGGAGTGGAGCCCCCATCCTGTCATGCCCGCCTGCTCCCTGCTCCCTCTTCCCTCCCGGCCTTCCCCGTTGAGGGCTGCACGGGCTCCGCACTCGGGGAGCAAGGCCTTTCCCTGGGCGTGCCGAGCTCCGGCCGCCGCTCTTGCGGCAGGGAGAAAGAGCGCCGAGCTCTCCAGCACAGGTGTCTCCAGGGACTGGCTGCTTGGAGACCTCCGGTGTCCCTGACAATGGGATGCCCGTGGGGACCTCTTCCGGCGTCACGGCCGGCTGCCGTTCACCGGCAGCGTGTGTACCGGTGCCAAGCCGTTCTCAGCTCGGAGACGTAGCCACAGTCAACAGACCGAGACGTGCCCTCAGAGATTCCAGTGGGCAGGTCTAGGATCTGACTGGTGACGGGGTCCGCCTTGGTGGTGCTGGCCCCAGGTGCTCAACGGCCCATCGACCGCAGCAGCCGTGCAGCCACCTGCCCTGGCAACACGGCTCTTGTCTGTTATCTGCTGCCTGCGTCGAATCCCAGTGCTGCCAGCTGAGGGGTCCTCACCTGCCCTCCGCCTCCCCCTCTGAGCACCGCCTCCCTGGAAGTCCCCTTCAGAGCAGGCCTGCTGAGGCCGCGACTCGCGGTTGGGAAGGAAGGCTGTGCGGGCAGAGAGGGCTGGCACCTGTGCCCAGTGCACCCCGGTGCAGTGCTCACCATCCACCTTTGTTCCAGGTGCTGTCAAGGCCGCCTTCTTGGTCCTTGCCTCCATGTGCGCCTGGTACTCCGGGTACCTGCTGGCAGAGCTCATCCCAGATGCATCTCTGTCCAGTGCCGCCTATAACATTCGCAGCCTTGGTGAGAGGCCTGTCCTCAAGGGTGAGTACCTGACCCCAGCTGAAGGGGAGCAGGGGAGGGAAGGTTCTGGGGACGGCCACTCCAGCAGTCCCCACGCCACGTGGAGGCAGGTGCCACTGCTCACGAGCACGGGAGACATGACCAGTTGGCCCCAGCTGCTTAGCCATGATCCCCACACCACAGCCTGACCTTGAATTATCCTCTGTAGGTAGCAGATCTCCGCTTCCTCCCAGGGGAAACACAGGAATGGTTTACATTTTCTAAAGAACTGAACTTCTCCCATGCCGTCTCACCAGGTCCCGTCTTGGGCGCAGAAGCCAGTCTGTAAATGGAGAGGAAAGAAGTGCGGGGTGCCAAGGAGACACTCTCCATCCGTAGACAGGACGGCCCCTCCACCACAGCCTGGGACGGGTGCAGCCCTGCCTGCCAGTCACTTAGGGGACTCAGCCCCAGAGCCTGGGCTTTACTAGGCCTGCTGCTCCCCAGGCACAGAGCTGAGCCAAGAAGTGATGTCAGTAAAGCAAGGGACAGAGCCACGCACATTTCTGAGGGCAGTTTGCGGGTCTGGTGTAAGGCACGGTGTCCTAGTTCATTCCAGTGGCTGGGAGAGGATGCCACGAACTGGGCGGTTTGTAGCCCACAGAAATGCCTGTGACACCTCTGGGGGCTGGAAAGGGGGGATTCCGGAGCTTGCAGATGTGATGTTGGCCACAGCCGTTTCCTGCTCAGCCCCTTATTTTCTGGTACCAATTTTTTTTGCCAGTTCTCTTTCCAGGGCAGATGCTAACTCGGGAGGGAATGCCCGCCCTCACAGGCGTGCACTTGTTAATGCAGCAGGTGTTCATCAGCACCCCCTGCTCCCTGCCGCAGTCTGACACCTGTGTGTTCAAGGTCCACCCTGGAGCTCCAAGGCCCTCAGAGTCAGCGAGGAGAGACCCCAAAGCTAAGTCACCAGGCTCAGGTAGGAGCCTGACAGAGAGACTTCACGTGCAGGGCAGGGTGTGCACCTGGAATACAGCTAGAATAGAGGAGCTGGTTTCAGGGGCTGGGGCTGGGGCTCCGTGGTTGAGCACTTGCCTCTCACGTGTGAGGCCCTGGGTTCAATCCTCACACCACGTAAAAATCAATCAATCAATTAATCAATCTACAACTAAAAAACATTAAAAAAAAGATGCTTTCACTATTATGTCAGAGGCCCTGTGGAACACACAGTAGAGTACTAAGTGGTATCCTTTTAAAAATTTCTACTGGAAGCAGATGCCTATATATATATATATATATATATAGTTTGTTTTTGTTTTATTTTCCAACAGTTTCTTTATTTAAAATATTTTACTTTTTTATTTGTTCTTTTTATTATATATGACAGCTAACATGTCACATGTACATGTGGTAGTACGTGATGTGGAGTGACCCTGGTCGTGTCTTCATGTATCGACACGGGAAAGTGATGTCCACTTCATCCTACTGTCTTTCCTATTCCTATCTCTCCTCCCTTCCCTTCATTCCCCTTTGTCTGATCCCCACACCACCCCCTATTATTTTGTGTTATATCTGCATATCAGAGAGAATATTTGGCCTTTGGTTTTCTGGGATAGGCTTGCTTGTTTCACTTAGCATGATAGTCTCCAGTTCTGTCTATTTACCAGCAAATGCCACGATTTTATCCTTGATGACTGAGTAGTATTCCATTGTTTGTATGTACCACATTTTCATTATTCCTTAGATGTCAGTATATTTTTAAGACAGACCATAAAATATAACAAATTAACTTGCACAGAAACAAAAAATTAGGTACTAATTGAAAAAAACTTTTATAGAAGCGACTCCTTCTCATTTTAATATTCTCTTATGACCAAAGAAAGAAGGAACTGTAGGACTTGACTACAAGTTGTGTTGGGCCTTAGGAAGGTTTGTGTGTTGGCTCAGCCTGTCTCCTTGCTGTCCCTTCACTACCTACCATAGATGACCTAATGCTGCTGCACAAGGACCTGGAAGACACCTCCAGGCCTCAGTCCCCTGTGTCAGTCCCCGTTTACATACAGTGGGCAGTCTGTCCTGGAGACAGCGCCTCCGATGACCAGCCTCTTAGAAGGCTCATTACCAGGTGGCTTCAGCTCCCGGCGAGGGCAGCCTTGGGACATTGCTTCCCAGACACAGGAACCCAGGGTGAGGGAAAGGGGTGGCAGGTGGTGGCTGCAGCCGTTACAGCCATGTCCTGGCTCCTTCTGGCCTGGAGCCTCCACCTGGAGGGATGCTCCACTGTGGAGTGTCCGCTGGGCACAGTTTGGGGTGGGCCTTGTGAATCGCGTGTCGTGCTGGAGCGCGAGAGACAGCGCACAGAACGCAGAGATCACGGGGTTCACGGGACCGTGCCAGTTCTGCAGCAAGGTGTTTGGTCCTGGTGTCCCCAACATGGTTGGCGGGAAAGCTTTCAGGGAATGGCCTTGTCCAGCACACTCCTGTCCAGGTGCTGTGGCCATAGCCACTCAGGGCGGCTGATGCTGCTTGGATTCAGGCTCTTGCTAGGAGCCTCTGCCCCTTCCTCCTAAGCAGACAGGAAAAACTGTGGTTCCGCTGGGCTGCGGAGGGGCAGGGATGGGCCAGGGGTCAGCACCGGCTCTGCGAGCTCTCCTTAGCTTCCCCCAGGCAGGGCAGCTCGAAGACTGTCCTGGGCAACGTATGTTTTCAGCATCCACAAGTCCCCAGTCCATCTATGACGTGGCCAGCACCTAGGATCAGGCTGTGAGGCAGACCGAGGCTGAGACCAGTGTGGGCACTCCCGGATGAGCGGCTGGAAGAGAAGCCAGAGAAAGGACGGTGGCCCTGCTGGGACGGTCCAGGAGCCCCACACGCGCTCCCATCCAGGGGGGACTTGAAGAGCTCCTCCTTCATGGGGGAGGACGCCGCGTTCCCACTGGAGAGGACCTCGGTGTCCGTTTACAAGAACAGGGCCAGGTGACCCTGTGCGGGGCCAGTCGCAAGGGCCGAGAGGGGCAGGCCCTGAAAGACAGACCTGAGGGTGGACACACGAGTCAACAGGAGCAGGAGGACACAGCCCTGGGAGGAGGCCCGGCCTGCTGGGCTCTGAAGGACGCCCCTGGGCAGCCCTTGCCAGCCTCGAGACATCCTCAGGAATCCCGCAGGCCCTGGGGTGGCCCACGGAGCTCTCTGCCTTCCAGTGTGGGCTGCTTCAAGTGTTTGGGAGAGATTGTGGGGCTGGGTCTGCAGATGGGGGCAGAGCCCAGGGGCTGCCTGTCCCGGATCTCTGCAGAACTCAGGGCTGGCTTGTTCCCATCAGGACTCTCACCAGACGAGGCAGCAAGCTCTCCCAGGGTCCTACCTGTCTGTGTTTACATTTATTTAATCCCACCTTTCTTTAAAAGGTTTGTATTTGTTCATCATGGATTGTTTTTCATTCATTTTAATCTTTAAGAATATTGCATTAAGCTGGGCATGGTGGCCCACATCCATAATCCCAGCAGCTTGGGAGGCTGAGGCAGGAGGATCACATGTTCAAGGCCAGCCTCAGCAATTTATTGAGACCCTAAGCAAATTATTCCCTCAAAATTTTCAATAAATAAATAGGTTGGGGACATGTCTCAGTGGTTAAGCACCCCTGGATTCAATCCCTAGTACAAAAAAAAAAATCCAATTATTGCATTAAACATGCCTTTGAAACACCTGAGGCCTCACCCTCCCCTGACTGTGCACCAGCCCTCTGCCAGACACTGTAACCGCACATACGTGCAGAAGGAGAGCTGGCAGCATCTCCAAGCAAACACTACCTTTCAAAGAAGGCCCTCGGCTGACCACAGGAGCAAGGTGCTCGTGGACGGTTATTTTGTCCTGGGAGCCCAGAGCATGCCATCGCCGGAGCGTCCACCAGGCATAAATGTAACGGCCACCCCCCCCAGGTGAAGCCGAGCCAAGCAAGGGGACAGAGGAGGGCCCAGGACTGCTGTGGCCACAGGGAAGGATGGGCGGGGAAGTAGGCAGACGTCCCTCAGGCTGACGGAGAGGTCCCGCCAACCTGTGACATCCTCAAACCGTCCTGAGTGAGAATCATGCACGAGGGGCTTTCTGACACTGAAGCCCACTGTTTTTTCGCAAATTGATTCTTTAATTGTGTCCAGGGCAACGTGGAAGTCACAGCACATGGATTTCCGAGTCCCTAAACATATACCGCCTGAAGCATATCCTAAAAATGGACAGGCAAGTCAAAGCTGTTAAGTGAACAGAAAATGACCAACTAAGCTTTCTCCGTTAGACAATTCTGATCCAGGAGTGGTGCCACACACCGGCGATCCCAGCAACGGGGAGGTTCAAGGCCAGCCTCGGCAACTTGGTGAGATCCTGTCTCAGAATAAGGGATCAGAAGAGCTGGGCATGTGGCTCAGTGGTAGAGCACCCCTGGATTCAACCCTCAGGACCCAAAAGAAGGAGAACAGAAGAAATTATCTGCTGTAACATTTTTATCTTTTAAAGAAATGCGTGTTGTGGTTTATGAATCTAAATATTTTATAAATGAGGAGATTCAGGCCAACTTAGCATTTTAAAATCTCCAGTTTGTCGAGGGCGTTCGCAGAGCCTTGGCAGAACTCTGGAATCTGAGCCCTGCAAGAGCCGCAGGGGAGTCGGCCAGCAGCGAGGCCGCTCCAGGCCCTGAGTGCACAGGAGAGGATTTACCTGCCACCTACCTCCGTCCGATGCCCCTTGTCACCAACCTCCACTGGCATCACTGGGCACCACTGTCTTGGCTTCATGCTACCAGTCCCAGAGCTTCCTGGCCATCACTGTCTCCGGTGGCGTCCTCAGGCTGGGCGTGCGTGTGTCCAGCTGCCTGTGGCTGCCCTTCCCTCCCCTCCTCCTCCTCCCTCCTGGTGTCCCCTGCTTAGGCACAGGCTCTGTGAAGATAACACTGGCACCGTGCCCGCCTGCTGTGGGAAGTGCTCAGCCTCTCTGGACAGAACACCTGGATCTGGCCTCCCATGGCTGTGCCCAGAGTTTGATCCCACAGA